CTTGTTACTTGCAGGTGGCCTATTGGTCATAGACACCAGTAGTTTTCAGAACTGAATATCCTGGAGGCTACGGAGAGGTTTGGGGGAGTTTCACTGTGGCCAAACCCAGTTCCTAGGAACCATGTATCTAGGAGGCTCGGGGGTCTGGAGTTTCTTTGTGTTCAGTTTTGAACGTATGCCTGTTGATACAACACAGTCTCCAAGAACTAAGTCTCCTGGACACTGAGGGGAGGGTGGACTGGGTTTGTTCTGAAGGCTTGAAGCCTTTTTGAGTTTACTTTTACCCTTTCAATACTATGTATGCCAACTCTTGTCTTTATACTGAGAAATAGAAGGGATGCAGAGACTAAAAAGACTATAGGTTGCCTTTAAAGGCCTTCAATCAGTTTATTATTTGGAAGGGTCAGCATTTGCTTTATCTATTAAGGACTGAGTATTTAACACAAAATCAGACCTGTTTGGCTCCGATTGCAGTTTCCATGGGGTAGTGTATGCCTGTAGCACCAGCACTCAGGAGGTTGACTGTTACTTGAGCAAAGAGTTCTAGGCCAACCTGGGCAACAAAACAAGACCCTATATCAAAAAAGCAAAACAAAAAGCTGGGAAGATAGTTTTGGAAGCAGAGTGTTGTGCAGATACAAGGGCCCGATTTTAGGGCTCAGCGCCAGGTGGAAGCCGGCGTGGCAGTACCCACTTGAGACCCTAGCACCGGGGAGGCAGAGGCAGCACCGCCCCTGTGTCTGCTGACCATGCACTTGAGTTGAGTCAGGGAGCGCCAAGTTTAGTGAGAAACCCTTTCTCAAAATCAATCAATAAATATATGTGGGAGTGATTGTCTGCACATAAACACAAGTATACATACACATTTTTAAATTTAGAAAAATAAAAAGGAAAACACAAGAATTTCATGAAGGCAACAAAAAACTTAATGTAGAGTTTGCATTCTCTTTTAAAATGACACATAAACAATAAATAAAATAGTGCAGGAGAGGAGTAGTAGGTCAAGAGCATGCTTAGTAGAACTCCAGTTGCTCAAGAACTATGGCTAACAATTGACAAGTGGGACCTTGGGAAGCTGAAAAGTTTTACAGTAAAGCAGAAGTTCATGAATAGACAGCATGTACACTGCACCTTTGTCAGAATATAATAGAGATACAGAAAGAACTCAAACTGTACAATAAGAACCTAGAGAGGCCAATCAGATGAAATACAAATGGCCAATAAAGATCGGAAGAGTGTTCAATTTCTCCAACCCTTAGAGAAATGCAAATCAAAACTGAATTTGAGATGCCATCCCACTCCAGGCAGATGCCATATTTTGAGGAAACAAATAACAAGTGCTTGTGAGGACATGGCAGGAGAGAACATTTATAGGTATGTTTGTAGACTATTGTAAGAATTCAACTTTTGCTCTGATATTATAAATGGGAGGTTTTGAGCAGAGTTATAGAACCCTATCTAAAGCTAAAAGGAGAAATCTGCTTTGAAAATCCATGAAACTTCAATTCCTAGTCATTTTATTTAATTTTTTTGAAATTATTACATCATATGTCCCCTTCCCCTTCCTATCTGGAGGGTTGTGAGCCACCATATGGTTGCTGGGAATTGAACTCAGGACCTCTGGAAGAGCAGCCAGTGTTCTTAACCTCTAAGCTGGCTCTCCAGCCCTAAGCCAAGACTTTAGTAAACTTTGTAAACATACTGAAATACATAGTTAAATATTGAGTACTTGTTGCTTTTTATTAGATGGTTGTAGATATTGGCAGCTATCAGATTGAACTATTGTTAGAATGTATCACATTTGAATAGTGAGTCTGGCATGACCAGCTCATTTCTATAGTCCCAGGTACGTTTAAAGCTGCTAGAGGAGAATTGCTTAAGCCTGGGAGGAGACTGGTCATCACTCTCTCTCCCACTAACATGTGTTGTGGTTGTTCAGAGTCTGGGTATGTTTTCAGCACTCCGATGTCTTTTCGTTTGGATTTTAATAGATACTACATTCATGGGGCTCAAGTTACTCTAGTTAACTTTTAACAGTGTGATTGTATAACCAATTTTGGCCTGATGCCAAGTAAATTGTAGTTTGAAATCATTTGTTTCCAGTGGTCTGGTTATTTCAGTCCTAGATAGTTTTGTAAGCTACTTGGGATTGCCCTTTTCCAGAAATAACATTTTTAGTTTTCAGTACCTGCTCACCTCAACTAAAACAACAGAAATGTCCATTTTTCTCCTTTGACTTACACAGGGTATTAAACGAAATAGGAACAGCGTGTGCTTAAAGTTAGCCTTGGTTATCCTTCCCCTAATGGGCAGAGAAACAGAGATGACACAGAAACTCTGTGAAAATGGGAAAGACTGGTGATGCCTTAACATCAACAAACTATTGTAAAGATGTTTTGTTGTATTTCAGGAATTCATCACTGGCGTGTCAAGCATCCTTTCCCTGGTTAGACAAGCTTCTAAAGTGCCCAGGCTCTAAGGGCTGCTTAATATGTGCAAGTAGTTATCCTGCATCTGATTGCTTCAGGTTCACCCTGACTGCCTTTGCCCTGCATGGAATGTGTGAAAAGCCTAGTTGAGATTATTGACTTTGTTTGGGGTTGGTCTCTTAAGACAGAGACTCACAACATAGCACAGGTTGGCCTGCTACCCTCTAAGCAGTGCTAGCTAGCTGTCTACCCACCGTCCTACCCACCCTGCTTCGGCCTCCTCAGTCCTGGAATTGCAGACATGAGCCACTGCATGCAGTAGGGAACTGGTGCTAGAGCTGTTTAATTTTGCCCTGTGCTCAGCCGGGAGACTGACCACGCTGTTGTCTTAGGTGCCATCCCTTGCCACTCGCCATTTTCTCCTCCTACGTCTGGATTTCTCTTTGGTCCATGCACAGTTCTTGGCTCATGGACATTGGTAACATTTTCTCTCTGAGGAGAATACCGATTTCCTCTTGCTCAGTGAATGACTAGTCAGCCTGTTGTAATGACCTTTGTATCTGGCTGCCTGGCCTGTGTTAAAAACTTGGCTTTTTTTGGCGCGTGGGGGAGGGGGGTGGCGCATGGTCACTATTCTCATAGACTTCTTAAGAGACCTTATTTTGTGGAGAAATATACTTTAAAAATAATTGTGACCAGGGAGTAAATTCTCAAGGCACTGTTCTCAGTGAAAACACTCTGCCGATCAAATGGCTTCTGTGACATTTGTAAATTCCCGTTCTAGTCTACAAATAAATATGTTGAAATAGGCTATGGTTTACGCTTGTAAAATTTCACTTAAGAGCAGTTGTGAATCGATCGGGAAAGTGAAATTCAAGACTGCCCAAAGCAGGGTATTTGTAGATCAAGAGCAGCGATGAGCTGGGTAAACGTCATTTCTTAGTGCAGCCTTTCAGCGGTAAAGAGTGACCCTCTGCCACTATGAGGGACAAGTGCGTGGTTTCTCTCATGCTTCTTTCCATCTCTTCTGTGCGTAGAGGAGAGGTGGGCGGCCGGGTCTTCAAGTTTGCAAGTACTTGTTATGTTACCCTCGCCTAACACTGAGCCCTGCTTGCTTGGGACAATTGGTTTAATAATGGGAATATTTGTGAAAATAATAAAGTCAGACTTACGGCTAGACACTTAAAATAGCTAAAAAAACCTTGGCTGATTTTTAATTTCACAATAATACCCTTTCTGTATTAAGTGTGGGCATACCTCTCTCTAGCCATCTAGCCAAAATGATTTCATTGACTTGTCTTCCTCATTTAAGGATTCCCCTACACACACACACACACACACACACACACACACACACACACACACACACAGCCAACGTACAGAGCAACAAGAGTTTCATCAGTTTCTGTCATGAAGCTTGGTTTCTCCTTCTTGGTATTTTGCTGTAGCTGGTATTTTGCAAGGCTTAAGAGAGACTGTAAGTGTGGGCTGAGAACTGTTGGGTGTATCTGGGTACTCATGGATGGAGTTTGTTCTGATGGTTGTTGTTCTGTTTGTTTGAGAGAAGGTTTTACTGTTTTCCCGAGGCTGGCCTTGGACCTCTAGGCTCAAGTAAAATCCAGAAAGTTGCTCCTGCAGTGGTGCCCTGTCCGGCCACGCCCAGCCCGATTGTGAATTGTGGCCCTGCATTCAGCCGACACTCGTGAGGTCCCTGGTTAGGGATGGTAGTGAGGTCCCTGGTTAGGGATGGCTGCTACAGTACAGGGTTTTATGGTGCCTGTAAAATTCACTTGAAGCTTGGTGAGTTAATTTGAATTTTTCATGTAAAAGCAAGTATTTTTTTCTTAGAGCTGTTGCTTGGAGTAGAGCACTTGTGAATCACATACAAGGCCCCAATTCTTTGCCCAGCTTTGCAAAATAAAGAGGAAGACTTATATAATTGTTGTTAAATCTATCTGTTGCCTTTGAATTGTATTGGAATATGTGTAATGGTATTTCAAGATATGTGGTTGTATTTCTTTCCTGTTTGGGTGCTTGGGTGGTTTATGAGGTGTTGGGAGAGGAAGGCATTTACAGTTGTGCCGAGGTGAGGTAGAGAAACAACTTGAGTGAATAAAAGGCCGGTCAAGAGGTGGCAGCAGCCCAAGACTCAGTCTGGTTTGTTCTTTTTCAGTATGTAGCTGTGGCAATCCTGGAACTTTGAAGTCCAAATTGGCCTCACATTCACCGAGATCCACCTGCCTCTGCCTCCCAAGTGAGGCAGTGAGGAATGAATGAATAGTCAATGAGTAATAAATAGAATTTGAAAAGCAATGAAAACATCCTAATGAATATCGTTTACCATTCACTAGTTTAAGAAAATACAAATTTAGAAAATTTCAGCTAATTTAAGAAAATAGCCTAGGGTTTCCGACAACTGCATGGCTATTTATACAGTGAGGTTGTAACTAAATTGTTTTGATGAGTGAGTATTTGCTACTGAAATCTATTTGCTTTTGTTTTATGTCTTAAAAATCAGTACTTGTTAACTGTAGAGAATATTGAGCATTAATGAAGTTTTATTCCTTCTAGGTCATGTTTACTGGTGAAAATATCCCCGTCCACCCTCATGTGTATAGCAATGGTCATATCTGCTTGTCCATTCTAACAGAAGACTGGTCCCCAGCGCTCTCAGTCCAGTCAGTGTGTCTTAGCATTATTAGCATGCTTTCCAGCTGCAAAGAAAAGGTAGGACTCTACAGTTACTCCCAGTAATGTCTCCTCTTTCAACATAGGTAGGTCAGCAGTTTCCATGTATAATTATTTGTATTTGGAGGGCTTTTGCTTTTGTTTTTAAATTACAGTGAATGACATTTTTAGTAACAAATTACAAAGTTATTTTGCTGTCTTTCATTCTAAATAGACTAGAACACAAATTCAACCTTTTATTTCAGAATTACAGTTTATTGAGGATACAACACGCCAGCAGTGTGGGCAATAACTCGACCATACCTGTCACTTGATAATTTTTAAACAGGACGTTTGTCTACGTGTTCTTAATCTGAGTTTTATTTTCATGAACTGTCACAGAGTAAAGGTGTACAACATATTCCTGTGTTTAGATTTCACAGTCGGGAAGTAAGAAGTGAACATCCCCTGGCTCTTTAGCCCCTCTTTGCCAGCATTTCTCAGAGTTTCCCAGAATCCAGAGCTTTCCTATCTCAGTGGTTAAATTGATGGAAGGGTGCCATTTACTGGTAGAATTTTGGAACCTTTATTTACACACAGACTCTGTCTGTAATGGGAGTGGTTAAAGTAGGGAGCTCTGAGGGTGTGCACTTTCTTTAGCAGATTGCTTCTCTGTTCTCCAGATTAAGTCCACCGGATGTTTTATTAATTAGAATTTAGAGACTCGTTAGGATAATAGCTTAGTTTTAAACAGTGGGTGGATTGGACCCAGGAGCACCTAGAGTCACTGTTCTCATTGAGTAAGTTTCTTGAGTTGTTGTGATGGTGTGCATTGAGACAGTTGAGCATGCTCCCTGTGTAAGCCTGACAGTTAGTCCCTGGAGCCTGCAGAGAAAGCCAGAATAGAAAGTTTTCCATGATTGCCACCTGCAGTGTGGCACACACATGTACTCACAAACACGTATAATAAGGTGGGGGTTCTTTTGACACGGGGTTTCTCTATATGTAGCTCTGGCAGCCCTGAAACTTGCTCTGTTGCTCTGTAGACCAGGCTGGCCTTGAACTCACCAGAGAGATCCCCTAGCCTCTGCCTCCCAAGTGCTGGGATTAAAGGCATGTGCCACCACTGCCTGGCTGTAATAAGATATTTCTAAAAGAATTTTCCTGGTGTTCTTTTTCAAAAACAAGAGGTTTTTTGTTTTGTTTTGGTTTTGGGTTTTTTGTGGTGGTGGTGGTTGTTGCTTAAATAAGTACAGGGAATAATACGCCAAACTTAAACTGTGTGTGTGTGTGTGTGTGTGTTTTCAAGATGAAGAGCTCTTTATCCAGTTTTTATATTCAATATAAGAAAAAAATCCCATTATTATGTTATTAATTAAAAGACATATCCCCATTCAGATACATGAGTCTTAAAAACATTTTTTAATTATTATTTTTTATGTGTATGTATGTTTTACTTGCATGTATCTGAACACCATGAGTGTGGTTGGTACCTGTGGAGGCCAGAAAAGGCATTGAATTCCCTGGAACTGGAGTTACAGATGATTGTGAGTTCCATGTGGTTGCTGGGAATTGAACCCAGGTCCTCTGGAAGAGCAGCCATTGCTCTTAACTGCTGAGCCATCTCTCCAGCACCTTTAGTATCAGTGTAACTTTAGTTTCTTCTGCATTTTCAGATTGTAATCAAGCTTTATTGAAACAATGAGTCTCGTTTATTGCTTTAATATTTTTCCTTACTCAATCCCAGCACACACTCATACACACACTCATGCACATACTTACACACATGCATGCACACGCACGCACATACTCACACTCGCACGCACACAGTCACACATGCACACTTGCACACTCACACATGCGTGCGTGCACACACACGCACACAGTGAGCTGATAACTATAAGGTTTGGTGTGCACTGCCGTTGAGATGGCCCCTGGTGACACTCTGCCCATTGCTCCTGCATGGCCTGATGACCGTGCATCTCCACGGAATGTTTACACAGTGACTGTGGCTCTGTGGCTCTCATCCTTTTCTGTCCATCATTGTTCAACTCACTTTCTGGTTTGCTGCTAATATTTTTTGCATAGTATAGTATAAAACTAATCATTTCATTAACTTTTTGATAAACTGTTTTTTGTAGAATTGTTTGATAGATTTAACCATGATGATAATTTAAGAGTCAAAATTTCTGTGGGTTTGATAAAATTAAACATTTATTAGAGCCAGGGTGTGGTGCCACACATCTTTAATCCCAGTACTCGGGAGACAGAGGCAGGTGCATCTCTGAGTTCGAGACCAACCTGGTCTACAGAGTGAGTTCCTGGACAGGCTCCAAAACTACAGAGAAACTGTCTTGAAAAGCCAACCAACCAACCAAACAAACAAAAAACTCATTTATTACATACTTGCTGGTTTTACCATTTATACAGAAATTTTCTCAAATTATATCAGTGTAATCTTGGAGTAGTTAACAACTTATACCCAAATATTCTCTTTGTTGATGTTGATTGAAATCACTGTTGATATGAATTGGTAAAGGCGTCCTAAGTGTCAGCTGACAGGCAGCTAAGTACATGAGCATTCCAAGTGCCCAGCAGATGGCCTGCTTTTTTCTGGCAGTCTAGGCAGTAATGCTTCATGGCTGGAGCTTTCTTAAACAATGCAGCTTTTGGTCAGCATCAGTACAGGAGGTAGCTTTCTTAATTTCTCATCTCCATTACTCTAATTAATTAAGTCTAAATACTTCAAAAGATATTTAATAGGGAAAGACACTATTTTATTAGAGTCTCCATAAAAGTTGGCCAGAAGCAAGGGTGAGGCTATTTTGTCATGCTTTTAGAAGCCATCTCTCAATGTAGCATGAGTGTAAATTTGACATTTGAACTCTTGACAAAAAAATCACATGTAGTTTTCATTCAGGGTCTCTGGTCTTGGTTAGCATCACTCTTGGCCAAGGTGTCCTGCAGAGCAGCCAGCTTTTCTGTGTTGGTCCAGCCTGGGCGGATGAGGAATAAGGCCATGGGTACAGAGAAGCACTAAAACTTCTGTTTTCTTCAGTGCTGTCTGAAGCAGGATCGTCCTCTCTGTCTTGCACAGTAAAATTAATGAGCCTGTGTGGTCACTTGAAAGTTGCCATAGTTCTTCAAATGACTTTAGTTTCTTAGTTCATGTGCGTAGTCATTAAGTGACTAGATGGGAGAGATAAGTATGAAGGATCGGATGGCAAGTACGGGAACTAATCTCTCCCACCCCATTAAAACAATTGAGGCATCTGTTCTTGAGTTGTATTTTAGTGTTTCTATTGTTTTTCATTTGTTCTGTAATAGTTTTGCCAAACTCACTTTTCTCTTAGTCATTTTCTTTCAGAACATACCTATTTAATTTTTAAACTCTTATTTGTTTCAGAGACGACCGCCTGATAATTCCTTTTATGTGCGAACATGTAACAAGAATCCAAAGAAAACAAAATGGTGGTATCATGGTGAGTAGATTTTAATGACAAAAATTTTGGTATTTATTTGAAAGATGATGTTGTAAGACTTGGAGAAAATAGTGGATGGTTAATTGAGGTAACATTTTGTAACACTACATCTTAGAATCTGGGAAAATGTGAGTATTAATTAGACAAAAATTTTAAAACAAAATCATATGTATCATACAAGAAGTACAATTAGCATAACTTTAATAATTCCACAAAGCCATTTTGGTACAAAAATATAATATCTTGTGGTTTTTGTTTTGTTGTTCTTTTGAGGGTAGAGATGATTTTGATTATGTAAGTCTGCCTGTCCTGAAACTAGCTATATAGACCAGGCTGACCTTGAATTTGCAACTCTCCTCCAAGTGCTGGGATTAACGTGATGCAGCTGTGACAGACTGGTGTATAATAATCTTTATCTTAATTTAAAGCTAGCCGTGGGGGAACTGTTTCTGTGAAGTGCAAGTCCTCCTGTCTTACGCACTCAGTTTTGCTGCTTTTCGTAATTGGAGGCAGTTACAGTAGGTTATATATGCTCCGTTAGAGAGCGCGTCTGTGGTCGCAACTGTCAGTCCTCGCCAGCGTTCTGCTGCTGTGAAGAGTGACGCCATGACCATGGCGATTCTGTAAACGACAGCATGCTTACAGTCATTGTCATCATGGTGCAGTAGACACAGGAGCTGCAACAGTGGCAGAGAGCCAGCTCGCCTCCAGTGACACACTTCCAGCAAGGCCAAACCTAACGCTTTCAGATGGCGCCACTCCCAGGGAGCAGATCTGTGAGCCTATGGGGCCCGTCTCTTCCAGCCACGCCCACCCCCACAGTTGATCTTTAGATGTTTGAAGTTAGTCCCTTTTGCTTTATGAAGAAATACTCTTGATAATTTTAAATTTCTGTTTTCCTTGTTCAGGGGATAGTGTGTAGGTGTTTTGTTGTTATTGTTTTTTTTTTCCCCCCTCTTTTGTGTTTTCAAAATTGGACTTCTCTGTGTAGCCCTGTCTGTCTAGGAACTCACTCTGTAGACCAGGCTGGCCTCAAACTCATAGAGATCTGCTTACCTTTCTTTACTCTACCTCTGGAGAACTAGGATTAAAGGCATGTGCCGCCACCACTTGATATATATATATATAGTTTAAAATGCAGAATTGCTGGTACCCATCCTTCCTCCCTCCTCTGCCTCTACCTCCCAGTTTTAGTTTCTCTGTGTAACACTCTTGGCTGCTCTGGAGCTTGCTCTGTAGACCAGGCTGACCTCAAACTCACAGAGATCCTCCTACCTCTGCCTACCTAGTGCTGGGATTAAAGGTGTGCGCCACCACCACTGCCTGGCTTGCTGGCATCTTTCTAAACCAGTCTTACTGCTATCTAAGGATATAGTTTAAATGAAAAGAAAATGCTTATATTCCCAGCGGACTTCCCTTTCCTTTGGTTGGGAATGGATTCCCTAGTCTTCTTCCTCCTAGACAGTTCTATCACTGAGCTACAGCTCCTTCTGTACTTCTGAAGCAGGTGAATAAAGGCCTCTCCTTGTGATATTTATGTCCATAAAAGTATTTATTTTCCTGGTGTAGCTTTTTAAAATTCATTAATCTAAAGAAATCAAGTTTGGCAAAACTTAATGAGAATATGGCCTTTTCTTCTTATTTTTTTATGTTTTCACCTAAACTGTAAATTTAAAGCTTAAAGTTTCCAAGGGCTGGGCTAAGATGACCAGAGTAGATGGAGTGGCTCCATGCCCATTGAAAGCAGGCCATCCCTGAGGGCCACAGGCATATGGGCACCCAGTTAGATAGGAGGGGAAGCAATTAAATTGTAAAAGAAGCCTTCATGAGAAGTTAGATTTCATCTGTAGGGATATTCTGTACAAACTGCAGGTATAGTCAAGTGTGGTGGTTCATATTTGTTATCAGAAGTTCAAGACCATCCTCAGCTACAGAGCAGGTGTGAAACAACTTGAGCTACATGAGACGCTGTGTCCAAACAGCCTCCCCATGAAAGATAGACTGTAAGTTATAGGCATCTGCAATTCATTAAAACTCTGGTAGAGCAATGGGGTAGACACTGTTTTAAAAAGTTATGGGCGGGGCAGGTATTGCACACGACTGCAGTTTTCACACTGAGGCAGAGGCAGAAGACAGAATTGCAGGCGAGTTCACTCTGAGTGCTCAGCCCCTGTCCCTGAAAGTACCCAGGCTTAGTGACAGAGAAGAGTGAAGATAAATTTAGAACTCTAAAGGGGAATACAGGGAAATTTATCTCATGTTAATGTAAGGATAGATCATTCGAGTAGGATTTAACTATTTAGGCCTTCTTATATAGAAGATTTAAGAAATTCATCATACATCAGGTGAAAGATTATTAGTAACTGGTCATCTTAGAAAATTGGTAAATATTTTAGAAAAGAAATTTACAGTTTTATTTGATAAAATATTTCATGTGGATTAAGTATTTTAAAATACTTTTTAAAAAACACTATTAAGTAAGGAGGGAGGATTTTCTTAATTTAGAAGGTGTAATAGATCCAGGTTTTACAAGTCCAAGTCGGGAGGATATACTGAATTTGAGGCAATCATCAGCTTCAGAATAAGATTCTGTCTCAAAATAGAAAAGAAAAAGTTATGAAGAAATGAAATACTTATCTCCATGAAAAAGTGAAGTATTAAAAGCAAAGGCACTTTACAGAATTAGTTAAGAGTAAGTCATTGACTGGGAGTGTGGTTGAATGGTAGAGCCCCTACCTGAAGTGTGCCTGCACTCAGTCCTGAGTGATTGTGAACCTCAGCACTCCCTCAGAAGAGCGAGTGACTCTAAATCCTGGCTTTTCACAGGTGAAAACGCACAGCACAGTGTTACAAATTGAGGAGTTTTGAAACTATGAACTAGCAAGTTAAACATGAGTGTAATGCAGATGACAAGGTAGCAAGCGGCAGCACAGCTTCCCACGCTGCTGCTGATACATGCCACATTGTTAGGGTTGTTCTCCTTTGTGGTGTTCTCTTTAAGATGTCACACGTGCACGTAATGTGTTCGGTTTAGATCCATTCCCACTCCCTTCAACTACTTCCGTCCTCTCCACTCTTCTCCCAACTTCACGTGCTCTCTTCTACCTCCTTGTTCTTTTAGATCTCCTGTGGCCACGCAGTGCTGTAGGGCGTGCAGGGCGCAGGGCGTGCAGGGTAAAGGATGGAGGGCGTGCAGGGTAAAGGGTGCAGGGCGTGCAGGGTGCAGAGTGGAGGGCTGCCTACTGGAGCCGTGCTTCTCAGCCTTCCCAGTGCTGCTCCCCTTTAATGCACTCCTCGGTGTGTGCTGACCCCAGCCATAAGATACCTTGTTGCTATTTTCTTACTGTAATTTGCTACTGTTAGAGATCATAATGTAAATACCTGTGTTCTCTGATGGTCTTATGCCACCTCTGTGAAAAGGGTGCTCCCCCCTCCAAGGGTCACAACCCACGTGTGGAGAATCGCTTGCTTTACTAGAGCATATGTACCTTTTCAGGGGCCGCTTCTCTTAAAGCTGGTGGTTCCTCACCCGGTAGCGATGAGACTTCTCTGCTCCCGCTGGCTCCCGTGATGAGATTTTGTTCATGCATGTCTTACGCACGCAGTCACATCACTATGTGTTCCTGTGTGCGCCGTGGCCTGTGTGTGTGTGTGCGTGTGCACGCGTGTGCCGTGGCCTGTGTGTGTGTGTGTGCCATGGCCTGTGTGTGGAGGGCTGGTCTGCACAGCAAGGGCTTTTACTCCCTGATCCCATCAATGTTTTCATGTAAGTGAAATTCTTTTTATTTTTTAATATGTTTTCTTCCCCTAAGTGAACTCTGAATGCCTGAATAATCTTTATGTACTATTCCCCTTTGAGACAAATTTACTGCCTATATAAGTTTTATATGTACTCGAGAAAGGGGTGGTGTTTGCTGTTAATTGAGATAGTAGAACAGGTTTTGTGTCATCCCACTAGGAAGCTGCAGAGCATCTTGTTTGAACTTTCCACCATTTATAAGAAGCTAAAACCTTTCAACAGTTGGACCACAGCAGCCTTTCCTCATTTGAGCATTATAATTGCATTTGTGTTGTCGTACCAGAGAGATAATCATATTCATTCTCAAAAAGTATATCCTGTTAGCTTTGTTAGGACTTTTCAGATGGTTTGGTTGCAGAGTCTCTTCCCTGATCCTGCTGGCAGGAAGTGTACGTCAGGGTTGTGCCCTTTGCCCCTCTCCCTTCTCCACCTTCCCTCTCCTCCCACCGCATAGCTGGCTGGCCTGGAGTTCATTATGAAGGCTGTGGTGGCTGTGAACTCTTGTAATCCTCTTGCCTCCTGAGTGCTAGGATTGCAGGCTTGTGCCACCATACCAGGTTCAAGAAATGCATGTTGTTGCTGATGGCTTTTCTCCCTCTCTCCCTCCCTCCATCTCTCTCTCTCTCTCTCTCTCTCTCTCTCTCCCTCCCTTCACTCTCTCTCTCTCTCTCTCTCTCACACACACACACACACACGCACACACACACTCACACACACTCACACATACACGGCACTTAGCATTTCAGCTTTGAGGGACTAAGTGGAATTATGTTCTAGATATCCAGCTCCATGACCACCCTGTGTAGCAGGAACAGCATACATGTGTTAGTGTGTTGTGTGTTGTATAGATGTGATCAAAGCAGATAGCCTGGAGATGATGATATGTGCTCTAAAGGGGGCTTCTTATAGTCAGCAGGGAGACACTGATAGTGGAAAATTACAAGTCTGAAATCATCCAATCTCCTGGTTTTATAAAGCGTGGATGTGCTTGTGTTGAGCTACCGGATAACAAGAGTTAGGTGTTTGCTTGTCTACATTTTTATTTAGAATCTCTTAAAAATTAAGTCAGTTACTCTTAGCTTACTGCTATCCTATTTGTATACCTCATAGTGATTGCTTTTGGGGTTCTTGAGTACACAGTGGCTTATTAAAATATAAAAGGCAATCGCATTAGGTAGATTTTGGGATATAAGAAGTCATACATATTGGAATGTGAATATAAACTCCTTATTGTGAGTTGAAATTAGGTCCACTCTCCAGAACTCTATACTTCCTCAGTAGGCCACATCTGCACTGTAAGCTTGTATGTTGCCAGTTAACACAAGGGTTTGTCTGCTCTGAAAAATAAATTGAACTTAAACAATTAGGGCCAGAAACTGAAAGCTTAATCAAAATAGGCTTGTGAAACAGATGTTTCACTTGAGCATGCAGGTGGGTTTGGGAATTTGCCATGATTCAGGCGTGGGGTCTTCCTTATATGGGTTTATATCTTTGAACAAGTGAATAAATGATTTAGAACCCATACTTGCTTTTCTTTGTTTCTTTTTTTTTTTAATAAAAATTTTCTTTGAGAATTTCATACAATGTGTTTTTATCACATTCACATCCCATTCCTCTCCCTAACTTCTTCCAGGCTCACCCCTTCCCACCCTCACCCCCTCCCCTTTTAAGCATGTGCTACTGAGTCCCATTTGGGACACCCATATCTTCATGGGCGAGGCCAGCTCCTGGAGCATGGTGGACCTGCCAGGGGCCACACTACTAATTAAACAGATTCTGTCCCATACAAGCCATCAGTTGTCAGTAGTCCCTCGGTCAGGTTGGAGCTTATGAGCAGAATGATCACTGGCTTGATTGTGTGCAAATCTGTGCAAACAGCCATAGCTGCTTTATGTTCACAACTGCACCAGCAGACACCAGTCTTTTATTGTCATCCAGACCCCTTCACAAAATTATTCACAGTAGAGCTACAGAGTGCCATCTTGTACTATAAAAGTGTTACAATAAAAAAATTACAATGGAGTGGCAACCAGAATCCATTAATAATAGTACATGTTTACTGGAATCAATATTAAAATATTAATCTTGCATAGACAGTGTTTTTCTGAGGGGAGTACAGATCCTTGATTGTTGAAGTACTCATACAGTGATGCAGTCAGTTAGGCATTAGGTTAAGCTCCTCTTAAGTGTTCGCTTCAGAAACATAGATTTACAGGCAGTGAATTTGACAGTGTAGTATCTAGATAGCATACTTAACAAATGGATAAGAGGCTAGAGAGGTGGTTCAGAGGTTATGAGCACTGGCTGCTCTTCTGAAGGTCCTGAGTTCAGTTCCCAGCAACCTCATGGTGGCTTGAAACCATCTGTAATGAGATCTGATGCCCTTTTCTGGCCTACAGTGATACATGCCAGTAGAACACTATATACATAATAAATGTCTTTAAAAAAAAAATGGGTGGCTCTAATATGGGATGAAATCGAGGAATCTTTTCTTTAGAACCGCGGGCAAGTTCATACTCTCAAAGGCCATAAAAGAGCACCTGGTCCTCTGAAGCTCAGATTACATAAATTGTAAGCTACCCAATGTGGATGCTGTGGATAGAATTACGAACCTCTGAACCATATTTCCAGCCTGTTTTGTGTTGTTTTGATAGATGGCCTTGCCATGTAGCCCAGGGATCTTTGTCTGTTGCTGTTGCTGGGAATTGAGCCTAGAGCAGTATACATGCTTTAAAAATTATTATTATTATTATTATACAACTGTGCCCAGGATTAGGAAAATAGCATGTCACTGACCTATATCACCAACACATGACTTATTTTTAAAATTTGGTTTTTTCACCATGTATGTGATCCGTGAATTCCCCTAGCATAACAGACATGATTTGGTCTTTATCAGTGGAAATTTTGTTAGCACTATATCAGCCTTGACATGGGATTATTTGTGAAACATTTGGTCAGTGTTTTGAGTTTTTCCTTTACAAGGTTTCACAGCTCTTGGTTGTCACTAGTCTGAAGCGTCTTAAAGTAATTAGTCCTAAAATTCCTTGGGTATTTTTGTTAAATGAGTTTTGTAAAATAAGTTATGGACCCTACAGTTATGTAGTATCTAAATAAATATGCTGAGGCCATCAGAAGGGATTACAGAATAATTCTCTAGAGTTATAAATGACCTTGCACATGTATATGTACTTTCTGAAAATTTGTTTTCTCAAGGGACAGTAACAGCATTAAATTTGTGCTGATTGATTTGAAAGTTGTATCTCTTTATTGGAGAGTTGCCTCATAGACTAAAATCATGATACATTATTTTGTGAAATGGCATGACTGTTTATGTATTGCTTATAAACAAACTGTCTTACGACATGTCCTAAAAATGCGCTACCTTATATCAACTTCTTGTTTTAAACTGAACTAATATACTAATCATATATTTTTAAAGTTTTTGCAAAGTGTCATTTCCTTGAAAGAATAAAGGTTTGCTTGTCAATATATAATTGAACACAAATTTTTATATGTAACAATTGAGAGAGGCAAGTCAGATCAGCCATGTTCTTGCGACTTGCCGTTATTTCTACATGAGATTAACTTGTAGATGACTTACTTATATATGCTTAACTTTTTAATTATCTTTTTTCTCCTTTTCTTAAAGATGATACTTGTTGATGCCACTGTTATCATCCTCGTAGCAGAAGATAGTCCTACTGAGAAAATGAGCACTTTGATCATTCAGTCTTTGAACTTTAACCTTTGACTGGAAGTGACCTATAGGCAATGAAGACTACTTCCTTTTACTGCATTTTTACTCGTGTGCATTCTGGGCGCATGTTGATCGCTGGCTCAGTCCAGGCAACTGACATGCTTTTATTAGTCATACAGTATTAATGCAGGTGTCAGGAAATGTCAAATATAATTCCATTTTTTATTTTTATTTTTTTAAGCTTTTCGAAAAGTTCCAGGCCCTCATGTATTGTGCAATAACAGTGACTTCCTCGGTGGTTTGGGGACGTTCATTGCCGGCAATGGACGTTGTAACAGGAAGAGTTTTCTTAACTCCTGCCACTCGGTGGTTAATGCATGACAGGGCCTATGAGATGAATTTATCGGTTATCGTGGGATTATAAGGACAGTGAGGGACCCGCATTACATTGAAAGTCACCCCAACTGTTTATATTTGGGTTCTGTGCACTGTGATCCTAAGGCAAACAGCATGGAACAACATGCATCTTTACAGGACCGTAAGAAAGATCATTGCGTATTTATTTAATTGTTTATATCTGCTGTCAAATTGTTTTGACATGGAAAGTTTTCAAGGAACATTGGCAGAGAGGTACAATATGTTATCCCTATGGTGAAACTCAATTCATTTGTTGTATATAGTCCTCAACCTCTGAAGTAAAGGTGTGAATAATATAGGGTGTGAATGGTTTGACCAAGGCTTTATTTTGGAAGTAGAAAACGGCAGTAATGCTTGAATTCCTGTCACTCATCATTTGGGCCTGTTATTTTTTTTCCCCAGCATATTACACTCTGTTACTTCCTGCTAGCCATCAGCATGAGCCCTACTGCCTAAACACTCTTCATTTATTTATGTTTGGAAATCCCTAAGCATTTTTGTTTGTAATCTTGTTTCTTTTTGTTACATTTAAGTTGTTTGAATGTTACAATACTTTAATTGAAAGACTTTTGTCAAGTTTTTTTCTTGTAAATTTTCTTTACTTGTATCATCTTGTCCTTCAATCCTGTACCCTAAAATGAGAAATACATTTTTGACAGAGGCTTAATGTTTTAACAAAAGAGTGTGGACATTTTTATTTTAAGATTTTGGTAAAAGAACACTATAAAATGATATGTTTGCTTATTTGTCTCACGCAGCCCAGGTTTTCTTGGAAGAACTTGTTTGTTGAAAAGATTTTGCTTATAGCTAGATGAAGTTTTTCTGTCTGTCTGTCTGTCTGTCTGTCTGTCTGTCTGTCTGTCTCTATCTAACCTATAAAACAGTTGTTGGAAAGGTTCCATTCTAAGTACCATGTACCATGTAAGTTAATGATGCTACAACTAGGTCTTTGTAAGAAGCAATTAATGTATTTTATAAATTATCTTTTCACATATGCAAGATCTGTTTCTATGACAATGTTATTTTTACTAATGCCTTACTGTTGCACTCTTTTTTGAATATCCTGCAGTGAATATATATTAATCAATCTGGGCTTAAAAATTAAAGCCAAATGGCTGAAAGATCTGATATGTGTACCCCCATAAAATCGTCCAATTGATAATTGGTAAAGAATATTTTAAAAATTGTTTTTAATCTCTGTGTAGATGACATTTTGTAGCTTTGTACATGTTGTTAACTAAGGGCATATAATTTTACACTCTAAAAGTATAACCGTTGAACTCAGGGGTGGGTAGACTTCAAAAATATGTCTGCTGTAGAAATAACTTGAAAAACTATTAAAACCATGGCCAGCCACCAAATTGTGGACACTGTTTATACTGCTAGGTAGCAATGATCGTTTTTAAAGATTGTAAGCATTTCTCTTCTGTCTTGACTGGGTGTGCACAAGTTCTCACAGTGATCATTGCTAGTTTTATTAGTTGGCCTATTTAACACAAAAGAAAATCTTTAAATTCCTAGTTTGTCACTGCTTCCGGTAAGAAATTACACCTGTAAGTTAGGTGTTCCCGTGCTTTAGGTCACTGCTTTAAAATACCAATTAAAGTGATGTCTTTTTTCAGGGTGGAGTGGGGTGACACAGGGGGACTCTTCTCTGTGTGTAGTCCTCTTGCTAAAATCCTTTTGTAAGAAGTGACCTGTGACATTCATTCACCAAAGGAAGCAGGTCGGGCATCACGGTGCTGTAGTGTGGAGTTATAGCTTCGGTTGCTTTCGTGTTTAGTAGCCCTCTGTAAATACGGAGACTGTAAGAGACTCACATGGAATGGAGGCAGCACTGGGAAACCAGGTAATTTTAGTTCGCTTTTCCTTCCAAGTGAAGAAAGTAAGAGTATATCTAAGATACGGGAACATCAACTGTTAATAATTCATAATCACTTAACATTACTCCATTGAATTTAGGAGTCATTGAAAATTCTTTTACACTTACATTTAATATTGACATTATTAAAAGACATAATGTGTGTATCTGGATCATTGTTCAGTTGAGGGCAAGTTGTAGCTTTCAATAAGACAGATATTTCACTGTAACGTATTACTGAAATAGAATTACAAGAAATTTCCATGAAGTATGCTGAGTCCATTCCCTCCTCCCTGCATTCCTGCCGTTGAGTGTTGGCCTGCAGCATCGTACTTTACACTCACAGGGTGTGTCTGCCTCTCACACGTGTTTATTTTAGGCTGTTCTGTCTTGCTAATCTTTTAAAGAAGTGATACACACAATTCCTTGTTTTTGCAATTATGAACTTGGTGCCCCTATAAATACAGACAAATGCTGTAGGTTTTTTGGAGAAAGGTTATTTTCAGTTTTATGTTAAAATTTTGTAAAGATACATTCTGTAGCTGTTCTCTTCAGGAGTTAATACTTCTAAAGAATGTATAATGCGCAATTATCCCTTTAGCCAGCAGAGAAATCAAGAAAGGGAATGACAGCGATTATGGAGTGAACAGTTCAGGTGGAGAAGGATGGTAATCCTTGTTGCTTTCAGTGGGAATATAGATATCTGTTATGAAGTAATGAAGTAACTAGAGTGGCTTACTATTTTCTCCTTCTGGTCTTAAATATATGCAGATACACACACATCATTAGTTACCCTACAATGGTTAGTAACGTCTTGAGATTCTGAAACAGATATCTAGTGACTGGTTTGTTCCATCACAGGTAAACTGACAGTTGTGGGAATGATTAGTGATATGAAAATGGTGTGTAAATGTTCTATTTCTAGTAGTGAAGTCTTCTTTTAAAAGCCTATTGTTTTTCAGAATTGCAATATTTAAAACTTGTTAAAACTTCCTAGAAGTAGAGCAGAAGAGGAGGTACTCTGTATTTGAAGGTTTTTTGTTGGTTCTTTTTCTTTTTTTTTAATAAAAAACTCAGTGTCACTAGGTCTCAGCTTTCATGGTTACTGCTGCTTATATTTCTCATTTTTATTAGTTTTTTTGTATGTCTTAATCGAAAGCTTAAAGTTTATAATTGTGTTTAATTATCTATGCATTTAAATCGGTTTTCAAAATGTGCTTTTCTGAAGATTGATGGTCAGTGTGCAGGGTTGAGGTGTCACTCAGTGGCAGCTGCCCTGGAGCGCCGCGCCCAGCGACAGCCTCTTCCAGGGTTTGGTAGTTGTGATCTGCGAAGCCCACAGCAGCGGCTTCCACCCTTGCTGTTGTCCTTCTTAACCCCCACCCCCTGAAGATGCGCCACGCCCTCCACGGCTTCCTTCTCTGACTTAGAATTTAGGGTTTTGTTTTTGTTTTTGTTTAACGTTAGGGGATGTAGAGGAGGAAAATTGTTAAAATTACATCTGAAACTTTTTGAGAAATTTAAAAATACTTTCTATAAATAAAATAGGTGGAGTCTTCCTATACCTAATTTCACCTCATCAGTAGGTTGCTAAGTGTATTGAGTAATTGACAGAAATAAGCTGTGAGCTGTGGTTGAATTTCTGAGCAGTGACCTGAAGGGTTTCTACTTGTTTTCTTCTAGACAGGGACTCTTCCGGAGTCTATTTCTCCTGTTAAGTTGTTCTTACATTTAGACGTGTTATTTTCCTGAGATTATTTGTGGGTGACTTTTTTCTCAGCATAACTGCTCATGAACACAAAGACAGGACTTTAGGTGTCAGTCACTCTGTTCAGAGGCACGTAGACTCAGAGGCACGTAGACTCGGAATGTTTCAGACTTGACTCTGCCAGTGCAGTGATCTGGTAAGTGAGCTCATAGTCTAATTTCAGTTCCTCGATTTATTCTTGGTACTTACGTTTGGTTATTCATCCCTGACTGATTATAAGGCCGTCAATACAGAGGTGCTGCCCTGCTTTGATTGTGTGGAAGGAAGGCCCGAGTAGCTGCGAGTCTCTCCATCCATTGGATCTCCATTGCACGTGGGAAGAGCTGACGGGCAAGGAGACTCAGGCCTTGCTCTCTTTGTGCACACACAGGCCGGCTTTTCCGGACTTTTTGATGCAATCATGTAAGTTGTTTTCTCAGACAAAGCATACTGAAAACTCTTCCTGGATTCTGTGGGACATGTAACTTGTCATAGTTTCTGGTTTACAGAAAGACTGAACAACTCTACTGTCTTAAACCCTGAAAGGGGACTCTAAAGGCATTTTGAGTTTTTTTTTTTTTTTTTTTTTTTATCAGATGCAATAAAGGTGCAAGGCTCTTCATAATAACAGCATATTCAAATAAATGCAAATTACCAGGCACACAGCAAAGAATTATTTGAGTAGAATTAATTACCTAGTAGTCAAGAACTAAGTACATGTTCGGGTCAAATTGAGTTTGTCCATTTTGTTGCTGCCATAATATGTTTGGTTCACAAAATAGATTTGTGCATTTGATTAGGAATGGAAGCTCATGCTTAAGGATTTGCATAGGGTGGGTATATATATTTTATAAATACAAATTTCAAAAATATGTAACTACTTTTTAAAATAGAATGTAAATGTTAAGACAGACAAATTTGTTATATATTTTTCAATACATGTACCAACCTTTTGTTAGTTGGACATAGGTTACTTTGTGTGCTTTACGGAACTGAGTAACTTTTAATAATAAAGCAGTTGTCATTTGCTCTCCCCACCCCTGTATACTTGAATGCTAAATTGGATAAGTACTAGAGTTCTGTTGTAGTTTACAGTGATGTCAAATTTAATTTGTGTAGTGGTTCTTGTATATGAAACCTTCTATTTAAAAGATGATTGAAACAAATAGCATCTGTTTCCAGAATGGGTGCATGTCATAAAGGGTATCATCTCTAAAGTTGCTTATTCATGGGTGGTCATTACTCAGTAGTTGGGGATACTATATGTTTCATTGAAGCCAATCCTGGCCACTTGTTATGCCCTTGTAATCCCATCTACTCTGCAAACACTTGGGAGGATTATCATCTCTATTTCAGGACAGCCTGGGAATTTACTAAGACCTTCTCCCCAAAATTCAAATGGGCTGGAGATGTAGCTCAGCACTGTCTCCTGCCTAGCCTCAGCCTCTAGTCCTGAAACTGAATGAAACAAGAGTTACTACAGAGTGGCAGGGAAGACTGGACGGGTGTCACATGCCTTTAACCTCAGCACTTATAAAGCAGAGGCAGGCCGGTCTCAGAGTTTTATGACACCCAGAGATACATAGTGAGACTCTGTCTTGGAGGAAGGAGAAAAAAAAACAAACCAAACAAAACCACAAGTGTCAGGGTCGGGGAGGATTTAGGAATTAGACACTGAGACCTGGGCACTTGGAGTTACCATGAGTCTTACTTGGCTTAACTCAGAAGTGTCATCGTTAATAAGGGCACCATATAAAGAATTCCTGGATGTTTTTCTGAGTGTACCAACTGCTCAGCTAACTAAGATGAGTAATCCTTTGGTTTTTCAAAACAGGGTTTCTCTGTAATTTTGGAGGCTGTCCTGGAACTCACTCAGTAGACCAGGCTGGCCTCAAACTCACAGAGACCCACCTGTCTCTGCCTTTTAAGTACTGGGATTAAAGGCGGGTGCCACCACTGCCAGATGGAGATGAGTGATTCTTGAATCTACAAGGACAAAGAAGGAGATGCGCATAAGGGCTGTTGCTGTACCCCACTCCAGGCTGGGAGGGACCTGCTTGTCTACAGTGCATTTACTCATCTACCAGCATGCTGCTGTTGCAGCTCTCAGCACTGATCAGTAGACAGTTAGACACTTGCAGCAGCTTGCTACTTTGCTGGACTCCACAGTCCTTAAAGTAGTTTCTGCTTCCCGTAGCAGGTCTGCCTTTTCTCCACTAGTTTATACTGGTGTGGATGTATTTGCACGTGTCTGTTAAAGTCCTTCCCCTGACGCTTGGTGCGTTCACACAGAGGCAACGTGCAGTCCAGTTAGAACATGCCTGCGGTGAAAGATCAGGCGATAGTGATGTGTGCTCTATTTTAGCCCTGCCCTCCAAGTATTGATTGGTTATGTTTTTTGAAAAAGTGCTGTTGGATTCATGTAAGATGCATGCGTGGGAGAACCTGTGTGCCTCATGCAGTAAGGTACACCAGTACCTGTCCTTAAGGAGAGTACAAATCCAGGAGAGCAAGTACCTTGTCACGTCTACCTCACCTTTGAGGTCACTGTAGATGAATATGTGTCAATGGGCAAGAACCTGAGTATGGATGCCTGTGTCCTGCATATATTTAACTCAACATGAAAAAACTTTTAACCTCTGCTCTTACTCCAATAAAAGCAAATTCCTATCTTTCCTGTAGTAATTAAATGGCAGTGTTTTCTGTTCTGATCACTGAAAGAATCTGACACTTCACCGAATCCTTTCTCACAT